GTGCTGGTGAGGGAGGACGTAGTGGTGGACCTTTGCTAGAGACACAACGAGGTGGTGGTACTGGTGGACCTCTGCTAGTACTGGAAGGTAGGGGGTCTAAAGAATCTCTACAAGCACCAATGGAAGGAGGTGGTGGTGGTCTTTCGTAAAAGAATCTACTTAGAAGCGTCATTTTCCTCTCTTTCTTGAATTTTACCAACTGAGCTGAATTGAGCGTACCAATTAGCTATTTTATCAAATAAATAAAAGTTTGAATTTCGGTGGAAGAAGAAGAGAAGAGAGCACGCGTGTTTTTTCCCCCTTTTTTAGCTTTTCTTTATAAGACGACGTCGTATAATTTGCTCGGCTTTCTATTTTCTTTTAAGTTGGAACACGCGTTTTGAGTGGCAAACCTAATTAATGCAATTTATTCTGGGTAACTAACTTTTAAATTTTTGGAAAGAAAACTGATATGACTTCAGCACCACCAGTACCCTTCCCAATCCCAACCGGATTCTGAGCCTTTGCATTTAATATCGGTGCATTTATACGATTTAAAGGAATATTAATCATTTGATTAATGACCAAGATTCTACCACGTCAACATAATTATATGAAATTTAAAACTCACCTTATGTACTGTATCAATCACCCGCAATATTTGGATCAAATGTTTAAGATTCCTTTAAATGTGTATAAATGCATATCAATGCTAAATGCAGAAACTCCGGATCCATCCCAAAACACTATCACACGTTTTGATTTTTTTCTCCTTCAACTCTCTTATCTAAGTACGTCTCTTTACTTTTCTGTTCTTCAGGCACAACAACTTCCCTCCATCTTTACTTTATCCCTTCCAAAATTATGGCATTTCTTAAATCTGTATATTGGGCTAAAATTTATCCCTGCCACTGATTGTAAATTCTATTTTATTTTTTTCCCGTTCTTACAAAATTTATGCCTATCCTCAAATTGATACCTCCTAGTATAGTAAAAAATCAAATACTGAAATGGAAATGTGTGAAAGGGTGTGAGAGAAGATAATGGTAGTTTCTCTTTTAAAAATTATTTACCCAAAACAAATTGCATTAATTAGGTTTATTGTTCACACTGATGTTCACCATTGGATATAATCCAACAGTAGTTTACCCAAGACAATCCCTAGTCGATGGGAAATTAATTGATACGTTAGTTATGATAAGAAATCAATTGCTAAGAAAACAAAGAAACAAGAAAAAAATGGAGGTTGTTGCTGCAAGTCCTCTGAGTTGCATATACGTAAATGTGACTCCCATATTAAACATGTTTATATCATATGGGCTTACTCATTGACCTATAACTAACGAAAGTATAAATCCACTTGATGAAGCCCAAAAGTAAAATAGTTCATCTATCATATCCTATTACTAAATATTTTCTTGAGTTAGACCTAAATTTTCTTTAAAAATTAGGGTTACATTTCAAATGATTTTAAATAGTATAAAATAATTGTAATTAAAAAAAATCTCTCTACCTCACCCAACGGTAACACCACCACCCAATCCACCTTCTCTTGCCCAACCCAACCACCCTCCCTCACCAATGGATCACGAGCCTCGGCATTTAGTCTTCATGCATTTACCTGCATTTCATAATATCTGAACCATTCTTATAATCTAATCGTTTATGACATGACACATATGTTATATAACTAAGGGAAATTGTAGAGAGAATTGGAAAGTAGAGAAAGACAATAGAATTTGTGTCAATCAACTTGTATTTCTCATCATGATATTTGAATACATACATTGAGCTTCGGGCTCCTTAACTTCTTTAGAAATTTTCCTTCAATAATTTATATAATGTATGACATTTTACATCTCTCAGGATTTATTCCTATGTATTCTTCAAAAGATTGCTTCTGGCGATATGCTTAACTTCATAATCTTTTTAGAATTTTCATCTCCAATTCCTTTATTAAATCAAGGGAAGCCTTTGTAAACTCTTCAAGAGTTCTAACAAAATTCTTCATATATATACTGTAATGATGGTAAACTCAGTTCCAAATTATTTATATATCCCTTTTGTAATAGATATTCATTAAGACGATTATACCATATTCTTCCACAATACTTTAATCCACACAAGGATCGTTACAAGCCATCATATTTTAAATCATTTGCTTCAGGCATTCTGAATCCTTCGAGAATTTTTATACACATAAATTTTTCATAAAAATGCATAACATAGCTGCATATGTTTACCATCATAATCCCATGTCTTTATTGGGAAACGTTGTGCCATATCATCAAGTGATTTATTTCACTTCATCTCAAACACCAATTTGTAACATATACATTTTTATATCATTTTGGTGTTTTAACTATAGGTTCAATAATTGCACTTTTTTTGGAAATATTCAACTTTACTGGACTGCCTCTTCCAGTTGGCCAATCTTTATTTACATTTGTCGACAATTATAACAAGTGGTGCAATATCATCATGTATAGCCCTTGATAACTTTAGTACGTACTATAAACCAATATATCATCAATTCATGATCCCACAATTCTCATATGCATGTGCATGCATAATTTATA